AGTTGTAATTTCGTAGCAAAAAAAGACGTGTTCATACTGTATAGTAAAATCTATACCAGGAGCAGCTGTGAACTGCACCTTCAAACAATGTAAGGGTCTTGCGAGTTTAGAGAGATTGACCATAAATATTACTACTCAATGAAAATAATAAATACTATCCATACACTATAAACGATACTATCCAATAACAATAATAAGTACTACCCAATGACAATAATAAGTACTACCCAATGACAATAATAAGTACTACCCAATGACTATACAAATAATACTACCCAATGACTATATAAATAATAATGCTTAATCATTATAAATAATACTACCTAATGACCATAAATAATACCGCCTAATGACCATAAATACTATTAGCCAATGACTTGAAATAACATTGCCTAAAGACCATAAATCATACTATATAATAATCATAAGTAATACTACCCAATGACCATATATCGATTAACATAAATAATACTATCCAATGGCCACAAAGATTACTAGTTACAGGAGTTTTATAAGTATTTATGTCTGGAGGTCAGCTTGATTCAGTTATTATTTATATCTTATTTGGATCTGGGAAAAACTATTTGAAGTTCCTGAGTTTTGCAGATGGATAGACGTACATCACTAAGATTTTTCACTATACGATCATGTAAGTTACAATGTAGGAAACATCTGCCAGTTTGAATTCTCTTGAAAAATTTAAATAAAGTTTTGTTCAGTTGGTATAAAAATCTAGATTTCGAACACTGCTAGAACTGCAAAACGTAACAGCCACTAATCAAGCTGAAACATCTAACGTAACGTAGTAACGCTCATAAAAAATGTAACAGTTCCGACTAAACGACAAAAACGTTATCCCATTTTCACACATGCGCAGTTACTTAATGCAATTTGATATTCATTTTTGTGCTTGTTTTCATTCTGTAATCCAATTTTCCACAAAAGACTTTAAAACCCCACTTCTATTCGGATTTTCCACCTAGTTAGGTTTCTATTTATCTCCCTTTAAATGACTGTTAAAGACAATTACTCAGTGACTGAAACGTAATGTTTATTAAACAGTAACAGTATACGTCTTCATTATAGGTAGGTTAACATTTTCACGAAACCAGTCTTACATTCGGATAAAGGAAAGTTGTACACAAATAAGGACAAAATAAAAGTCAGGAAGAGAAAAATCTGTTTGATAAAACGAAAACTCTCGGTCCCTTGCCTGTCGCGGAGAAAGAGTGGACAAGTTACTCAGCTAGCAAGAACTAGCTACCATCACCAATCGTTCCCGTGACTTTGTTACATGCGACTAGAGCCTAGCAAATCAATCACAGACCTTTCTGTGCGAAGAATCGGAGAGAAGGGCTTACCCACCTTTGTGAAGTGCTTTGGGTGTAAGTGTCCATCACCAATCCGTGAACACGTATGTTAACGTCACCTTATGTAAAGTCTCGTGACCCTGTCAGGTTAATACGCTAACTTGTATTGAGCCGTCACAATATAAACTTATTGGGAAAGCTACTTAGACCCACATATTCCTTTCAATGGACTTATGGTGTTCTTTTTTCTATTGTTACAATATATAATGTTTTTTATATTGCGATCCGAAAGACGTAGTTCAACCATAAAGCCAGAATATATAAAACGTCTTTCTATCTATCTTTCTCTCCATCCATCCATATATCTTTGTTATATATTCATCACATAGCCAACTGCCTATCTGTCTATAGTCCTAGTTTTTCTTTCTCTCTATTTATACGCCTATGTGTCGTTTTGCTTATCAAAAATATGTTCTTACGTACTTTAATTAGTTCATATCAAAATAAAAACGTCTAACTACCTGAGTTGTCACTTAACTCTATATTTACTTTCTTCTGTTTACATGCTTGTTATTTGTTTTATCTATCTGGATGCTGTAGGTATACTCTGAGTTCAATTAACCTTTTGTTTCGGATTAAAAAAAGCCTTACGAAGAGCTACAAAGCTGATTCTGGCCGAGTAAAATTGTTCTTTTTTTTTCTTCTTAAAACGAAATTAATCAGAAGTGCACCATTAAGTGCTTTGTTCATATAAAAGACTTGTACACAAACGTTTAATTATGTATAAATATGTAGTTACACCAAAGTCGAGTTTCTTGTCTGACCTTTAGCATCTCAAACATAGTTTGTCAGAATACATTGTGTGAGAAAACCGTCATTTACTACACTTCCATAAGGAACTGGAGCGTTGATACACGTTTTTAACAAAGACGTATTTTTATACACATTATCTTAAGATGTTCGAATGTTTTAGAAGTCTTATAGTTGCACATCGACGAATGTAGAACACACTCAATTAAATCCATAGTATACACGAGTTATTAGAAGTACACTTAAGAACGAGGAAGCAACGTTTGCTGAATGCAACGTTTTGAAAATTAAATTTCGTCTCCTGGATCCTCAATAGGAGTGGTAAAAATTATGGACGTTTCTTGAATAAAGATTAATAGGCTGTACGTTTAGAAGTAGGAGAGTAGCAATCAAGACCACATAATTCACATAGAAAACAACCTCTTTAAAAATTAGGGTCAATATGATACAATACGCTCGCTCTTTACGTGAATATCCTGCCGTTTGTGGCAGCATTAAAAACGATCCATGTATTCTTCCAGACTTTACTGCTTACTTTGGGATTTTTTTTAAATTTTGCAACCAAATAAAAAAATCTGAAATAAACAATTTCTGGATTAAGTATTGGTTTCCATAAAATGACAAAAGCTGATTTAATCGATGAATCCATAAAAAAAAATTAACACTGAGTAGATATTATACAAATATAAACATTCAAACAAAATAAAATATTTTAATTCAGAGTTTTATTTTCTATACATAAACGTACTTATAATCTGCACGTTTTCATTCCATTACACTTGATTACCTAGTTATTATTCGCATCATATATAATTCTGTAGAATGGTATTAGAATATCAGTTGATTATTTACATTCATGCCCACTAGAAGTTAAGGGAAAATCTTATACTGAAACTCAGCAGTAAATGTATAAATAATGAAAGCTATAAAATGTAAAGATGCATATATATATTTAAGTGACTCTTCTATAATAAAATCTCTGCCCTCCCCCCACACACATATGGAAGTTATATTGTCTCTAATATAGTTACATTATCACAAAATAGAACTGTTGTGCTTCGCCTTGAAATTACTATACGATCTGTTTATCGCTGTGGACTGGCCGCTTTATTGACTTCCTGAGCCCAAATTTCCTTAAACAAGAACTAGTTTCAAAAGAAAAGTCGCCAGGCGGTTGATTCAGGCCCGATTGCCTACAGGGTTTATTCGTTTTGAAATATACATTTACATGGCACCGCTCGTTGTGTTAACTTCCTAGAACTGAACAGCACAGATAACCCGCTGTGGTAATGTTATCACAACCGTTTGTATTTTTACTTTTCCCGATAAAGCCTGGTGGTTTATACTTCAATTATCTTGTGTGTTTTTGTAGCTTTCAAAGCAGCTAAAGCTCAACTGGTCCAATGATGTTCATTTAAGAGACTCAACTGAATTTACTGAATTCAGTTCTTTATTATTACGGGATTTTCAGAAGTTGCTCAAAAAGTAAAAAATAAATAAAAATAAAGTCAACTAATCATTATCGAAAATGTTCTTTCTAATCTGCCATATCTTACTTACCTTGTGTTTTAATGAATTCGAAGCAATATGAATGCGGTCGTTCCCCTTAACATTTCTTCGTTTTAAATTTCGATAATTGTGAGATACGATTACTATTACCACAATTTAAAAAAAAGTAGAAACGAACATTAGAACAACAAATCCTGAAGCAAGCACAGGCAGTTTCTCATTTTGGATTTCAGTTATACTGTTCTTTGTTGGTATTTCCAATTAAAAAGTAAGGTAGAAACGAAGTTGTTATTACAGAACTTTCTAGTTGACATATTATAGCTTGCAACTAGTTTGTTCTATTCTTCGCTCAATGATACTGAGTTCAACAATTTCCAGAGATGATACTACTTCTTGTTAGAACGTGGGGACTAGCATAAGAAAACAAAAAAGGAAAAAGGTAGTGCTTATACTAGTAACTATTGGAATATTTATGTAAAGTTTGGTATGTGTCTGATCCAGTTAATTCAGTTATTGGGTTCAAAGAGTTAGACAAAGTCCTTGTGGCGGTGGGCACTGCTGGATAACTCCTTTCCCTCAGGTCTGTAGCTCAAAAGTAGGGGACTGCTGTATTTCAGTATTTGGAGTTTCTGACGTTAGCATAAATTGCTGTTCAGATTGAAAATCCCAATTCACATCCTGTGTCTGATCCACTGCTTGGCCACTTTTTGAACTTAAGTTATTGCTATTATGAGGCACTCCTGTAAAATACTCTTTATTTCACGACATGATGACTTCGAAGGAAAAGCAGAAAATTTTAATACTAACTGATAGAGGAGATTTAGTTTCAGTAAATTGGTTGCTTGGTAATTATTGTTCCTTTTTCAATAATTATCTTTATAAAAACCACCATAATTTTTTATTAAGTCCTTCTCGTGTAAATAAAGCACTTAAATACTTTTAATACATTACCAAACATCTAGTCAAACTGCCACATAAATGTTAATAAAACTTTAAATCAAAAAATATAAAAACTATTAATTTGTATTTCTATTTTGTACTTATGGCAAAACTATTAAAGCTTTCTGCTTCAGTCTTTAATTTTGAATTATTAACTAGGTATTGTTTATGTTAGTAAAATGTTCGCACAAAGCTATTCGAGGGTATCTACTAGTCATCCCTAATTTTAAAGTGATGGCCTAAAGAGAAAACAGTTAGTCAACACCACCAATCGCTAACTAGTAGGTTATTCTAATCGAATAATGGGATTTGCCCGTCACTCTTATAACGCATCAGCGGCCCCAAAGTTTGGAGCTCGATTTTGAGATAGTAAAAAATGTCAAAAAGTTTCGATTCCATAAAAGTATATAATCCAAGAAAGTGATAATTTACCAGATATTCCGTCGTATGTCCACCATTCCTCCCAGCTTCCAAGAGACACTAAAGACAAAGAACAAATAGATTATCTATATAGAAACACAGGAAGCAAACAGATAAAGCTATTCTGGAGAGTAAAATATTTTCTATATATATCAATCTTTTGTTTCTCATAAATCAAGCAGATCACAAATTCATCAGCTCGTATTCTATCTGATAATCGTTCCCTTGCTTAACCACTATTCTTAGCAACACTTGGTTTAAGGAAATGGAATGCATATACTATTTTGTTTAAATGGGTAACAAAACTGAAAAGATGTGCTTCAAAATAATTTCGTCTTCCAACATTAATTAGTAATTGAAAGAAAAATAACCCGATATCTATCGTTATAGTACAGTATGTAGCAGATACCTCACGTTCTGTAACATAAACAGTTTAGTTATAAATGTAATGCAGCCACCGAGTTTAAAAAGTGAAACACGGAACATGAGTTGGTTCAATCTATAAACGCGAGACACACGAACTAAAACAACAGTCCTGGGTTGGTGAAAGTAGGAACACGGTAGATCTCCCGACTTCATGGTACCAATTCTGTTATCTTCGCACTTTCATGTCGCACTCCATCCAACCTTCTTATGCTAGACTTCACCAAACAAACCGACAATGAAAGCACAAACGATAAATTTGGTTGAATTTCTTAGGTCTTCCACACCTAAAAATCTTGTATAACACCATGAGGTGACCTCTGTCGTTGACCTAGATGGCCTTGTGAGTACTGAAATACTTTAGAACTGCAATTTTCATCTGATTATGAAATAGGTTTTGTTAATTAATATGAGCGTATATCTTTTAGCGATACAATACACTCAAACAAAAACAATTACTGAACTTATCTGCTCGATAATCCAATATTTGCATATTATGGTTCAAACGTGATATATTTCTCACGCGGAGTGATGCTCAACTATCTTAGATGATGAGTTAATACCCTAGATACTGCTAGTAAGTTGTTGTTTTGTCTTAACTCAAGTTACCATATCCTTCCACTTTCACAAACAAGGTACACCTTCGGGCTTGATCTACGCTAAGACATCTTCCAATTGAAGCTATATAATGCTGTTTGGATGGCCAAATATTATCGACCTAGCCGAGCTAAAAATGGCCGAAACTAAGAACAATTTTGTTAAACATATATATTTTCAGAACTTTAAGTTGCTTTGTGTAACTAACAAAGAAATTGTGGACCACATAGTGGTATCGAGTTTCGTATCCTACGTCCGTGAATAAATCCGATTTTTTTTCTGTTTCTCTCGCTAAAAAACGTTACACTGAACGTTAAACGTTTAGGTATGTGACATAAGCTTAGACTTAAAAACGAACGCGTCGAATGGAAAGACAATGATAAAAACAAACGTTAAAATAAGGAAAATACTTTACATCTATAAATAACTGAAATGTCAAAATTAAGCTGAATATTTTAAAATTAGCTTTAATTTTAAGTAGAAAAACTATTTTATGGTAAAATGTAACTTTATAATATAAGACACACACGTATTATACAATCTCATTACATTAATGAATCAAACATACATATGTTTGATACTTTTCATTATGATATAGGTCCAGCTTATCTCTCTTTGGTTAACTTGTGTTCAGGGTTACTGATGA